CCCCAAAACCCCAAAACCCCATAATTCCAAAATGTACAAAATAAAAGGTAAAAAAAATTTATTACAAATTTGGTTTGTATCTTGAATATTAAAATGGAGTTCTCGATGATTTTGTTTCAATTTCTCTTTTTAGTAAAATAAACAACAGCAGTAATTACTATCCCTGATGCTAGTAATCCAAAGCCAAGAGCTTTCAGTAACAGGGCCTAATCACTTTTTTCAGTTAACACATGCAGTCTTTATTTTATCTCAACTATTCTAGATTATATATCTCCATCCTCTCCAAAAACTGTTTCAATTTAATTAATGTCTTCTTAAATCTTTTTAAGTTCTGATCGAGAGTTACTTCTGTCCAGTTCAAGTAAGCATTAGTATTTAAAGAGCCGAAATCTTTTCTTTAATTTCTAGACCTAGTCATTTGGTTGAGCAGGCTACTCATATCTGTCACAAAGACCTATAGTTAATTCTGAATAATTCAAGCCCAGTTCATATAGCTTTAGCGTTGTTAAAAGCGTCAAGATTCTCTCCATAAAGATTTAATCAGCATAGAAAATTAAAGGAAGTGCCTTTAAAAGCTCGAGTGTTTTATCAATAATCTCTACAGAAAATTTAGTATCTCCTAACTCATATATCATTGCTATTACATAAGGCATCATTTATGCGAGATCATGTATTTTTGCTTGATTAACTTTGATTTCTATAAAGTCATAGGTGATTTATTTAAATTCTTCAAACAGCTTATTCTTCACAAACATTGACATTAAGCCAAATATAGTCTTATCAGAGCCCTGTTGGTAGTAGTCTATAGTGTTCCTTTATTGATAGTAAACTCTTCTCTATTAATAAATTTCATATTCTTGCTTTTATTCAGGAGGAAAATTTTATTAAGAATTTAAAACTTCTCTGACCTTAATGAAAAGTAGAGATTCAAAAATGTGATCTCTTTAGCCGTGATATTAATCCTTTGATAATTAAGTCAAAATTTCTTCCAACTTTACTATATAGTCCTTTAGGTCAAGTTACTCGTTAGTAATCTTTAAATTAAGTTCTTAAATTCGCTACTTAGCTTTCGCATTATTCAAATAATCTTCCGGAAAAACTTCAATTGACTTTTCCAAAAAGATATCTTCAAATTACTATGCCTTAAATTTCAATTCCTATTAACAAAATAGACTTAAAGAAATACCTCTTTTAGATAAAATATGTACTGTCTAAGCGATATCCAATATAGGATAGCAACTATAGATACTGAGGGGGTAGTTTTCACTTCTAAATTCAAATATCTAACCAATAACAAAATCTCTTAAAATATCCTCAAGAGCCTCAAATTATGTGAAATCTAGAATTATTTTTGAAGCTTTAATTATAATCTATTAGAATTCAAAATTATCAAGATAGTTCTTGTAATCATTGATTATATTACTAAATTCTTATTCTGCCTCCTCAATCTTAAGTTTATAGTCATCACCACAAACTAATTCAATGGTTTTTAATATCCTGTAATTGAGATTAATAAAGTTGCAACCATCTTATATAAATTTATACTCTTCTAATTGATTTACTCTATTTTTGAGCTCCATTAAAGTTCTAAAAGCGAATATTGATGAGAGATCTTTTTTCAAGTAGAATAATTTTAAGAATTAAGATTCTATGTGTATTGAAAAAAAGGGGAGCAAGGCAGTCTTAAAATATTCCTACAAATTGTTCATATCAAGCTTTTTCTTTAGAACTTCTTCTGTTTCTTTAGGGTTAATACTAGAACTTAAATTTGATAGCTATAAGAATTTCTGAACCTATTTGATTTAAATGTTTTTATCTTCATCAATAAAATCACACATTTTAATGACCGATTTTGAATACTTTTTGAAAAGTCTGAGGCTTAAGAAATACTTTGATTTGGCGATGTAAAACTAAAGTATTATATTTTTGTTGTTTTATAAAACCTCCTCTGTTTTAATCTATGATTTTATCTTTTTGAATAATTTTCGACTCTCGTAATGATTTCCAAGTTCAAAGTAAACTCTTGCAAGTTAAATTTTAGATTTTACAAATAAGGGTCTATTGAATCTTAGATGATTCCAAGCAACCATTTCTTTAAGAGGTTCTATTACCTGAAAATAATATCCTGATTTATAGAGCATATTAACTCTAAAATATTCAAGTTCTTTATATTTCTCATTTGATATTTTATCTTTAATCTATGATATTGACTCTTAAAAAGTCTCAAGAATTTTCTTTACAGCTAGGTAATTTGTAAACCAGACTTGAATCTTAATTATATAAATCTAAGCTTGTAATGCATTCTATTAATTTCCCTTTTCTTATTACTCCTTGTATATTCTGGTGAATTCAATAAAAGCATCTTTCTTATTATCTTAATATAATGTGAAACCTTTACTAAAAAGATTTACTTCTGTATCTGGGATATGTGGTTTTAGATTAATACCTATTTTTTGAACAGTTGAATCCATTTAATATTAATATTATTATAATATATACTAGTCCACAAACTTAATTTAATCATTTAAACTCTATATATTAGAAGTTTTATACGAATTCGGCCACACGGGGTTTTGGGGTTTTGGGG